ATCCAATAAGGTGAGACTACGTGGTTGTAGCGTGGATTACCAAAGAAGCGTGTAGTCAATGCAAAGAGTGCATGCTCGTTCTCTTAGATCTATCCGTGAGATATAAAAATCTTATTTGTTCGCGTTTATGCGATTCTCATTGAGATAGAAAAACTAGAGTATTAGAGATATTTATCGAAAATCTTTTTACCAAGTAATTCTAAGCATACGTCTACAATACAACAAACAAAAAACTTTAATTCATTAAAAAGTTCAATTCAGCATTATTATATTCTTTCCTCTCATATGATTGATAGTGCGTTGCAATAATAATAATTATTATTATTATATTATGCAACTACAAAACATATAATTAACAATGTCAGATAAATTGAAGATTGTGTGGCAATTCCACTTGATGTACAGCAAACTTATGAAATGCTTAGAAATGGTATTAATCACATTTCGCAGGAAATATGCAATAATTTAAAAAAAAATGATACCTTGCAGTCATAGATCCTAAGGGCAGAAAAAAATCTAAATACTTGCGTACCTGTTCGTAGTTTGAGGTGAGGAGAACGCGTGCGTAATTCCAACCACAAGGACGCAAGTGTTCAGAGGCGTAGGCAAAGCTTTTTTCAAAGCAAATTAAATTGCTCCGCTCGAAGAATTCATTATCGCACAGTGGCAATTAAGATGGTCAAGCCGCCCAGTACACGTAGCGCAACAAAACGTTACAAAAATGATACATCGCAAACATTGATACTTGTTAGCATTAACTCTCATTACGATTAGAAAATTTTATTGTGAAATCTGCTTATTTTACTCGACGTATTCTCTAATGTCAATGCTTTACTATTTTGCATATCAAAAGTATTCTGCATTTTCTCTGTATTATACGTTCTGTCTATTTCTAATACCAGATAGCATTCCGTCAGTCGTATAATTATTTCCGCCTTTTCAGAATCACCGTTATAGTGAGGAATCGATCGATCCTTAATAACGCATCAATTATCTTTTCAGACAAACAACTCAATTTGCACGAGCTCCGACTTGCGAATTAATAGAGAATCAGAATGAGAAAAGTGCGAGGCTTACGCCAGTTGTACCATTGATACAGGGCACAGGCAATCGGCTGTACGTGGTGCACGCGTGTCTTTAGTCATCTCGATATCATATCGCGCGGACCATATCGAGGTGGTCGCGACCACAGGCCCGCGTGCCACCGCGGCCTTCGGCTTCCACGTAGAAAGAGAGCTTCCCAATAATTTATTGCGCTCCGCGTCTATACGCGAGCTCTCCACATGCGCACCGACATAGCGGAAGAATGAGAAGAGGGATGCACGCTCGCGGCGCGAGACTAATGTCTCGAAATGAATCCCGCATTATCGCGAAGAAATTGAGATGTTTTCTTTCTTTTTCGTCGTCGAGAATTAGAATCTGACATATGAAATTGTCAAACATAATGTTAACTCAATCAGCTCAGAAACCTTTGATGTCTAATCGAGTTTCTAGAAATTTTAGCCTTCTGTGTATTTTAATTTGATTAATAAATAGAGCAAACTGTAATAGTGTGTTTGTTGTTTATTCACAGAAATATTAATACAAACACACTCAGGGTCTATCAATTGAATTCCTTCTCGCAACAACTAATCGAGTGATCCAGCAGAAACACTAGGATTTCGTAGCAGACATGATCGAATGATGGAGGTGATTTCGACACGCCGATACGAGGCCCGTCCACCAGCGAACACCCACTCCTCTATTCTCGTGAGTAACATTTTCTCCGGCTCTTTCAGAATGCATTTTCTCAGCTATTCGCGCGTTTCACTTTCACGAAAGTTTGATGTATGAAAAATTCGATGAAGTGATGAATTATTCGAGAAAAAGTCGAAGGAACAATTTATCGACTAGAAGATGAATAGAAAAAGAATTGTTGACTAAAAACAATTCATCAAATAAAAATTTTGACGGATAAATTTATTGTTCCATTAATTTGCCATTTCGATAAATTTTTCTTTCAATCAAATCTCTAATCGATTAATTGCTTCCGATTAGCCCTGACCAACTTTGTATTCGATTAAGTCTTATTTTTAGCTCGCATTGTAAGTCGCGTAATTGCGTTAAATCAATCTGTCGAAAGTCATTTGTTCGTTTATTCAGAGTTGATCTTGCGAATAATCTTACTTCACGTTAACATCGGATCGGGATCTGCCGGGTGTCGGTCAAGAGTTTAGTCGCGTGTAACATGGAGTAAGAAAGCGGTTACAGCGAAGTTATTTGCGGTAGACGCGTACTTCTCGCGATACGTAACTTCCCCGGAATGTCCTTAGCCGAAAGGAATCGCCGCTTCGCCTCCTCCGACGCTCTCGCTCGTAGGCGGATTTACATACGTATTGTTTCCTTTTTCAGGTTGACCCTGAGAACTCCGTGGCATTAATCAAAGAAGGTAAATTCCTTGAACAGAAATGTTAATCTACGAACAGAAATGGTAATCTATGACCCTTCGTGCCATCGGCGTGTAAATCGCAAATTTATTAAGACGACGCTATTAACATCGGCATGACTTCCGATAGCTGGAGAGGCAGTAGAAATAGCGAAGAAATATACATTATATGATAAATGTAAAAGGATAAGAGAGATAAAAGAGACTCTAGTATACAGATTCAATTCACTTAAATCGTAAAAAATGATTTGATAAAAATATCTTATCATTTTGTAATCTTGAAAATTTTAACTATGACCATTTTCAAAAGTGCTAACAATATGAGTGGTTAAGTGCCGTAACATTCAGTCCAAAATCTTATGTTTAAATGGCCCAAAATCATCCGACCTGTCGAACCCTCGTATTCGTTATACAAATAGAATAGATTAGATTATTGTATGACCCGAGGATGGAAACATAAAGATAAGCTAGCATTCTTCTTTTCTACTATTTGCTTTATCTGACAAACATGACAATTGCGAAGATAGCTGTTCATCCGGCGTATAAATATTGTTTCGCTTATTTGGCATTAGATTGAAATGCTTGTAAAGGCACGATAATCGACACGAAATAAAATCTTTCGCCGCGTCTCTCCCTGTCGTCGGCTCATCGTTCGCGTTTCGTTTGTCCGTTTGTTCGGGACCGAGAAATTGCTCTTGCTGATGTTGCCGAGCCTGAGAAAATACTTGTTTCCGATTTTCAGAGGAATGGGAAACCCGTAAGAAGAAGGAGATCACCACCACCCGGCAGATCGAGACCAGGGTGAAACGGCAGGTCGTGCTCGAGGACGGCGAGGTCGTCGTCGACACTGGACCCTTCGTCACTACGAACACGACTGAAGATGTCGAGCAACAGGAGCATACGACTCAGGAGGTTTGCACGCTAGTGAATTTAGTGATAAAAATAGCGATGTAAATTTCAGTGATATAAACGCAAAACTTCGTTGTAAATATATTGAACAATTTTTCATTTCTCCAATTTTTTTTTTTTCGTCTCATACTTTCTTATCTTATTTCTTTCGTGTTGGTTAAAAAGGTCCAAGTTGCACTTCAATCATAAGAGTTTTTACGAAACGCGAGATGTAAGAACAAACAAGTTTGCAAAAGCATCTTCTTGGTTCTTTACGACACGCGTCTATTGTTCATTAATCCTGCATACATTGTCAGACTGGAGCCCGGCTTCCTTTTGTAGTATCACGCGCGCGTACAGAAACGTGCCTTTAACGTTTGCGAACTGGTGTTTAGAGACGCACGACCGGGGATCAACCACAGGAGGTCGACTGGCGGCCGACGGCAGGTGGTATCGGCGACCGGAAATGGCGGCAACGTCGTGCAAAAGGAGCTCAACGAGACGGTGATGCGGAGCCG